TGTGTCCTGTACTCGTGTATGGGATGTGTACGGATTCTATAGCTGTGGAAATGGGGGCGGGGAGGACAGAGGGCTTCGGGCGCAGTTTCAGGCAGGTTCCCATCCAATTACAGATATATTATATCATAGCAAACATCGTGACTATTTACAATAAATACAGTTGATTAGATTATATAAATAAAATATATATAATATCGTATCGTTAGGTTTAGGTTTACAGCAACACGTGACAGTAAACAATTAGATCAGCGGCAAAGTAGCGTTAATCTATCTAAGGTAGTGGTCGTAGTAGCTTTAGCGTGACTGACTCTTCCGTTCACTTCTCGCGCTCGCTTAATCTTCGGTATCTCTCATTTTCACGCTCTCTTTCTTCCCTTCCTTCGTTCTCGCTCTACATTTATCACTCTCGCATCCTCAACTTCCCATTTCACGTTTTTCTGAAATTTCGAATTCTTTTATCCCCCTTCCCCCCCCCCTCCCTCTTTTTTCGGCGTGGAGTCGCGCTCGAGAACCAATCGCGCCGCAAATTCGTGGATCGACGGTTACTGCTATAATTGGCCACTCTAGCTCCTCTCATGTGTACATATATATATTTATATTTCTTTTCAATATATTCATATATATTTATATTTATTTATTTATTTATTTCACATAATCGTTATTTCTTCGCGCGTTCTACTTCGTTTTTTTTTTTTTTTTTCATTTATTTATTTAGAGAAGTACGTGGAGTTGTCACGATCCCCCGCGGGCGATCACGAGGGATGAACGAATCTGGAACGAGTTCGCAAAAACGAGAGATGAAACTTCACGGAAGTTAGAGAATGAATTTTTTTTCTAATATAATCGCGTAAGACGGGGTCGGGCCTCGAGTCGAGTTTTTGGGATCCCCGCCCGTGCGACATGTATATCGCGACTACCTGGCCCGCTCATTAATTTGACACGTGATATTTAAAAAATAGTCGATTCTTCGTGAACGCACTGTTGCCGGATTCAACAGCGGATAATGCGGTTAAAGATCAAGAGTGTGAGGGCAGTGTGAAGGGCAGTGGGAGGAGCAAGTGTGAGGGAGTTGGCCAAGGGAAAACGATGAGTGTTTAGATGTGCACGAATGTCGAAGCACTCCTATTTCGCTTATCTAGAGAAAGCAGAAGCCTCGGAAGATTAACGGAAAATCACCTTCAAATATCATATATCCTCGCGAAATTATCACCACTGCTGAAAGACGGTAGCTGCCTCATTGTTACAGTTACAATAACTGGATAGAGTTATTATTCAATACAGCCGAGGAGTGTATTATTATTGAATTTAAACACGATTTTAAAGCGATTGTTTCTAAGAAATCGATTTAATACAGTCACAGCAAATAATTCGAGATTAATTAATTAATTAATAGATTTTAAAATTTTCGCTATTTTCATATACGAGTGCTTTCTAAAGGTGAAGTTAAAACAAAGCGATTTGGAATCGAGTCGGTTACGCTTAGATAAGCGAGGGAGGAATGCGGCTCGACGATCGAGCCCGTTCGCGCGGCCGTCTGCCAGAGAAACGCAATGATGAGCAACGCGCGGGGATAGATATTTACGGCGCGATTTTAGTGAGTTCCGTTTTCGCGTGTCGTTTCGCGCGTGCGAACGAGGACCTGAAATGTACAAAAAGGATCGCCCTTGCGGCCTCGTTGGCACGTGCGAGCGCGTGTGCCCTCTCCCGAGCAGGAGCTCGTCTTGGACCGCGGTTTAAAATTGCCCAGGCAACACGACACCGTAAAAGAAGCCGTAAAGACGGCCTAATTTTTCACACATCGTTTGACTATCTCTCGGAAGTCTTTCACGATTTTGCGTTGTTCGGTGTTATAAGTCTAAACACTCGCTCGAGTTAAAAATACATTACGAAGCT